GTGCAGGCCAGAAGGGAGTGGCAAGAAATATTCAAAGTGATGAATGCCAAGAACCTACAACCAAGATTACTTTATCCAACAAAGCTATCATTCAGAAGTGAAGGTCAGATAAAGAGCTTCACAGATAAGGAAAAGCTAAAGGAGTTCATCACCACCAAACCAGTATTATATGAAATGCTGAAAGGTATCCTTTAAGAAGAGGAAGAAGAAGAAAAAAGTAAAGATACAAATTATGAACAACAAATACACATCTACCAACAAGTGAATCTAAAAATCAAGTGAATAAATAATCTGATGAACAGAATGAACTGGTGATTATAATAGAATCAGGGGCATAGAAAGGGAATGGACTGACTATTCTTGGTGGGGAAAGGGGTGTGGGGGATGCGGGAACAGACTGGACAACAATCGTGCACCTATGAATGAGGACAGTGGATGGGGAGTCAGAGCGGAGGGTGGGGTGAGAACTGGGGTTGGGTGGAGAGGAGTTGTGGGGGGAAAAAGAGGAACAAATATAATCTGAGCAATAAAGATTTAATTTAAAAAAATGTTTTAGTCACAATTTTAAATTAAAGTGGTTTGTGATGGTGTTAACATTTAATACAGACATATTGGATAAATTTTTAAAAGATTGTAAAGAAGCAAGAAGAGTCAGGACCAAGGTTATAAACCTCGTTCTCTCTCTGACACTGTGTGCCTCCTGAATTGATGCAATGTGAAATACATAAAAGTCCGGATAAAGTGTTCGTGCCAAAAGTGCTTAACCTAAACCTAAGCAAGCTTCCTCGGGCCCAGCTTCCAGTTTTCAAGCAAATTGGGACAAGGTAAATGACACAATGTAGAATAATATGACAAATCCCAAAAGACATTTTTATAAGACAGCTGCTCTGGTCTCTTCAAAAAGTCAATGATTTTTATGAAAAAAGTTAATAGTTTTTATTTTCATGTCATGAAAAATGGAGAGGAACTAGTGTAGATTTAACCTAGACATTAAAACCAAATGCATGCAACAACAAAAAATAATAAACTTAACCAAGGAGGTAAAAGGCCTAGATTCAGAAAAACTATAGGACATTTAAAAAGGAAATAGAAAAAGAGACAAATAAGCGGAAGCATATACCATGTTCATGAATTGGAAGAATTAACATCATTAAAATGTCCATGCTACCCAAAGCAAAGATTCAACACAATTCCTATTAAAATCTCACTAGCATATCACAGACCTAGAACAAATATTCAAAAAATTTATATGCAACCAAGAAAAATCTTAGTAGCTTCAGCAATCCTGAGAAAGAAGAACAAAGTTGGAGGTGTCACAATACCTGATATCAAACTATATTACAAGGCCCTCGAAATCAAAACAGCCTGGTACTGGCATCTATAATAATAAAAGTGTAATATGCTAATTAGACCAGATGACCTTCCAGACAAAGCCGGGGCTGTGAGGGAAGCCCGGGTCCCCGGGTGCCTGCCAGCAGCTGGAGGGGAGCCTGGGTCCCAGGTGCCAAAGGAAAGCCGGTGCTGGCAGCCAGGGGAAGGAAGGCCTACTCTTGCATGAATTTCGTGCATCAGACCTCTAGTACTAGTATAAGAATAGGCATCTATATCAACGGAACAGAACAGAGAGCCCAAAAATCAACCCACATCTTTATAGTCAATTAATATTTGACAAAGGAGGCAAGAGCATGCAATAGAATAAAGGCAGTTTCATCAATAAATGGTGTTGGAAAAATTGGACAGATACATGCAAAAAAATGAAACTAGACCACCAACTTACATTATACACAAGAATAAACTCAAAATGGATTAAAGACTTAAATGTAATTGCAAAACCATAAAAATCCTAGAAGGAAACATAGGCAGTAAAGTACAGATATCCCTTGTAGCAATATTTTTGCTTATATATCTTCTAGAGCAAGAGAAACAAAGGAAAAAAACAAATGGGATTACATCAAACCAAAAAACTGAACAGCAAAAGAAACCATCAACAAAATGAAAAGGGAACCCACTGGATGGGAGAAAATATTTGCCAACAATACATCTGATAAGGGGTAAATTTCCAAAATACTAGTATACAAAGAACTCATACAGCTCAACACCAGGAAGACAATCCCTTTAAAGAATGGGCAAAGGACCTGAGTAGATTATTCTCCAAAGTGGACGTACAGATGGCTAATAAACATATGAAAAAAACAAAAAACGCTCAATGTCACAAATCATTAGAGAGATGCAAATTAAAACCATAGTGAGATATCACCTCATACCTGCCAGAATGGCTATCATCAATAAATCAAACAAGTGCTGGTGAAGATGTGGAGAAAAGGAAATACTCATGCACTGTTGGTGGGCATGTAGACTGGTGCAGCCACAGTGGAAAACAATATGGAGCTTCTCAAATAATTAAAAATGAAACGGCCTTTTGACCAGTGATCCCACTTCTCGGAATGTATTCTAAGAATCTGAAACCCTAATCAGAAAGGGTGCACAAGAATACCACCTTGTGTTCATAGCAGTGTTATTTACAACAGCCACGATCTGGAAGCAGCACATGTGCCCATCAATGGAGTGGACAGAAAAAGCTGTGCTACATTTACACATGGAATACTACACAGCCATAAAAGGGGAACTTTTTGCCCTAGCTGGTTTGGCTCAGTGGATAGATCATCAGCCTGTGGACTGAAGGGTCCTGGGTTCAATTCCGGCCAAGCCCTGAGTTATGGGCTTGATCCCCAGTGTGGGGTATGCAGAAGGCAACTGATCAATGATTCTCTCTCATCATTGATGTTTCTATCTCTCCCTTTCCCTTCCTCTTTGAAATCAATAAAAATATTTAAAAAATAAATAATTTTATAAAGGGAACCTTTACCTTTTGTGACATAATGGATGGACCTGCTGATTATTATGCTAAGTGAAATAAGTCAGTCAGAGAAAGACAAATACCATATACAAGTATGGAATCTAATAAACTGATGAACAAAGACCAGAGGCATGGATACATGGAACAGACTGACAGAAGTTAGAGGGGAATAGGGGGTAGGAGGACTGGAGGAAAGAAGGTGAGAGATTAGCCAAAGAGCATATATGCATAATCCATACACACAGGCAACAGAGTGAGGGACAGAGGGAAGGGGGCTGGGTGGAAATGGGCAAAGCAGCGGCAGCGGGGGGCAGGGGGGTGTTGGAGATAGGTTTACCTGTAATAGTGTCAAGAATAAAAATAAAGTTTTTTTTTTAAAAAATGCAATAATGCAATGTGTGAACCTTGACTAATTCTGATTTGGGTTTAAAAAAAAAAGCTATGAAAAGTATTCTAGGGTCAATTGGAGAAATTTGAATATGGAGTTGTATGTTAGGTGGTATGTCATTATTGTTACTTTGAGAATGGACCTGTGGTTATGTACTAGTATGAGATGTTTTATGCTTACAAGATGTGTGCTAAAGCAGGAAGGCGTGAAGAGTCTTGTCTGCTACTGTCAAATCCAGATAGAGCATATATGTGTGCTCATTGTGCTGTTCTCTCAAGTTTTCACTATGTTTGAATGTCTTATATGTAAACTACCTACTGAAGTATATACATATTTACTAAATTTTTAAAGAACTGATGAATTAATATTTCTTTTTTCTATTGTAGGCTCAAGAGAAAGGAAGATTAGACTATGCTAAGGTAGGTAAATTTTATTTATAGCACACAGTTTTATACATTTCAGTTTGGTGTTTGTTTTTCTGTTTATATTTGAAAGGTCAAAAGAACAATCACATTCAAAGCTGAGGGACATTCCCTGTTAAGTAACAGGCATTAGTAGGTAAAGCAAGATTCATTCAACAATAAGTTTATTTACTAAGCGCCTGCTTCATTCCAGACAACAGGGTAGGTGTGGGGAATACAACAGTGAATCAGGTCCAGTCTTTCCTTTCTGGACATTTACAATCTAGTGGGGGAGACAGATAACTAATGGAAAAAAACTAAATGGATACATAATATAATGCCAGATGGGTGTAAGTGCTATGAAGAAAAAACTAAACAAAGTAAGACCAGGAAGCATTGCTGGAAAGATGCCTTTGGCCAGTGGATGGGAAAGAGCTGTTATGCCATCAGATCATACCTAGGAAGCACCAAACAGGGCAGACTTGGGCTCCTGACGGCAGTATTTCTCACATCGCCTGTGGAGTTCTTGAAAACACACATGCCTAGGTTACCATTGCATCACCCCCTCTTTCACCGAGATCAGAATCCCCTGGTAGGAACAGCGGTGCAGGGGCAGGAGGAAGGGTTTGAGAGAAGGTGCTGCAGATAATCTGACACACGTCCTTGGCTGAAAATTGCTTTGGGGAGTTCAGATTTCAGCTTACCAGTGAAGCCTAGGAGCACACGTGGGTCGCATTCTGTTTTCCCCTCAGGGGCAAATGGAACATGTTAGCAGGTGTGTGGGATGCATGTAGCTGCTGGGCTAAAGGAACATGTTAACCATCTGGATTATACAAAAGCAGGAATATCCAGGGTGTGAGCACACCTGCACTCCAAAGACAGGGAGGGAGAAATACGACCTGGAAGGGTTCTGCTTGCAGGGGAAACAGCTGAAACCCACAGCGTTCTCAGGGCTGACCGGAACCCTGCGCTCTCCTGGCCACCCTAGGTTTACGCCTTTTCTCTAACCCCTTTCCTTGCCTGAAATGGGGTCTCTCCTTTTCTCTGTTTCTCAAGAAAATTAGATAATAGGAGCACCTCTAACTTGAGAACTTCCATATCTGTCACTTTGTCTTAGATGTTTGTTTGAGTCTTGTCAGATACCCAAATGTGAGTTGTGGACATATCCTCTTGGGTCTCCCACAGGCAAAGGAGCTCAATGCTTAAATGGAACTCAGCCCCTTCCCTGACGTCTCTGGTCTTTTTTTTTTTTAATAGATTTTATTTTTTAGAGCAGCTTTAGGTTTACAGCAAAATTGAGCAAAAAGTATGGAGTTCCCCCCATCCACACACAGGCACAGCCCCCCCCCACTATCAATATTCTCCGGAGTGGTACTAGTACATCTGTTACAATGAACTTACATTGACACATCATTATCACCCAAAGTCCATGGTGTCCATTAGGGTCCACTTTTAGTGTTATATCTCTGGTCCTTGTTACTTTTCTTTCTCCTGTTGTTGGCACTATCATCCCACCAGTCAACCATATGAGAAACTTAGAAGTCACCCTGAGTGCTCCTACTTCCTCACCCTATATTCCATGACCAAGTCATGCCAATTTTATGTCCTACATTATCTTGAATCCAACCCATCTTGATCTTTCAGCCAGTGCTCAATGTAAGTCCCTTCATCTGAACCACTGGAAACCTACTAACTGGTCTCCCTGCCTCTCCCTTGTCCCCACAAATCCATTAGTACTCAGAATGTCAAAACCACAAATCTGACAATTTCGCACTCCAGCTTAAAACCTTCGTTAGCTCCATGTTGTCTGTAAAGCAGTTTCAAAGCTTGCTAGATTGGCATATAAAGCTCTGTGCTCACACCCTCGAGAGGGACTCTCCGGCTTCTTCTCCTTCTACCCTGTGCTCCAGCGGCACCAAATTACATAAAACGTGCAGTTTCTGTTCTTCATACTGGCCCCTTTGCTCGGAATGCCCTTCCCCCTTTCTCGGGCCCCTCCTGTCCTCCTGTGTGGCTTAATTTAGGATCATGTGCTGCAGCAAGTCCTCCCTGGTTCCCCAGGCTGGAGTAGGTGCTTTCCTCCATTCTTCTGTACATTGTGGGTCTCAGTCACTGCACTTAACTGTTACCATGATCCACTTATGAGACAGATCATGGCCTGTGAGCTCTCGGAGGGCAGGGACAGTGTCTTATTTGCCTTTGTACACTTGGTGTGTGAGTGAGTGAGTGAGTGAGTGAGTGAGTGAGTGAGTGAAAAAATAGAAGGCACATGAAGTTAGTTCAGGAGAAACTCTGATATAGATTTTTATCTTAGAGAAGAAAGGAAAGCTTTTGACACCTGTTACAGGTATTAAGTAGATTGAGAAGGTTGCTGAGAAAGGTTGTAATAAATTAGTTGGGAGATAAAGGCTGGGATTTTACTGTGATAGTAAAAAAAAGCTAACTTATGAACCAAAAAGTAAAGCAATCGAGTAACTATTGATCATTGCTGCATATTTATGACTCAAAGAACTCCTTTAGGGTTTCTTATTGCAGAAGCACATGACAATGGAAGAAGTTTGAAAAAAATAAAAAAATAGGGTGCACAGATGAAACACCCCAGGACCGAGCTCTGCCACCAATTCATTGCAAAATCTGGTATCAGCCCTAGCCAGTTTGGCTCAGTGGATAGAGTGTTGGCCTACAGACTGAAGGGTCCCAGGTTCCATGACTCCTGCACATACCTCGGGGCACGTGCAGGAGTCAATTGATCAATGTGTCTCTCTCACATCAATGTTTCTCTCCCGCCCCCTTCCACTCTCTCTAAAAAAATAAAAATAAATTAATGGGGAAAAAATATCCTCAGGTGAGGATTAACAACAACAAAAATCCGGTATCAATCACTTGACCTCTTCAGTCTTCCCTCAGCGTCTTTAGTATAAAACAAGCAATTTAAAGTAGTGCTGTTTTATTCTGTAGGCCCATTCCAAATTTGAGAGGAGACATTTGGGGGAGGGAGGCATTCTTATCTTCTATATTTCTGCAGTCCAGATTCATTCCTTTATCCACTCGTCCACCCAATCGCTATGTTTTGACATTTAATATGCGTGCCGCACTGTGCGGGTGCTCACTCCCAGCATGAACAAGATTGACACAGGCCTCTCCATCACACACTTCCAGGACTCAGACCTCCCTATCTTAAGTAGCCACTCCCCATTTGCTCTATTTTATTTTCCTTCTTAACATTTTTCAATTTTATTTATTTCCTTTTTTTCTTTCTTTTTTTTCTTTTCTGATGTACCTATACATAGAAGGCAAAGTGGAAGTAATCCTTATGAAGATATTAAAAGCTCTGAACTATATGAGATTATTAAGTGGGTGAGGAATCCAGAGAAGAGAAGAGTCTGCAGACTGAGCCCTGGGTGGTCCAGTGTTAAGAGGTCAGAGATACGAGGAGGAACAAGCCTAAGAGGGAGATGCAGCAGCCAGCGGAGAAGCTGGAAATCCAGGCGTGTGGCTCAGCAAATGTCAAGGAAGAGAGTGACTGCAGATGCATGTTAGTCTTTTTAATTTCACCCTCCACACCTCAATGTCTCATCTTGTCCATTGAGTTATTTCTCTATGCTAAATTCTGGATCATCTCCTTAGAGGCAATACAGCAGAATAGTTGGTAAGAAGGAATGACATGGAGACAGGGTTCAGTTGATCAGCAGCCTAGCCAGGATCTCCAGCCAAGTTCTGGTCTTTTTTTTTCTTTTTTATTTAGGTACTTGTTTCTTTCTTTCTCCTACTCGACTATAGAGCCCTGCAGGCAAGGCACAGGGTGGTTCTTTGTTCCTGGTTGCATCACCTGTGTCCAACACTGGCTTACACATAGGAGTGCTTGATAAATGCGTTGGATGAGTGTTGCATCAGAGTTATGCCAGAAGTGCAGGACACTGCAAGAGGTCTGGAATCAATTGTAGACTCAAATTAGCCTTTTTAACAGTATGTTGACTATACAACACAGTCCGTTCCAATGTTCAGTAACCCTAAGTTTACCTTCCCAAGTGCCCAGTGACCATGTATCTCAGGCAGTAAACAGAAACCCGCCACCTGGAATATATGGCAGTAGTCTGATAGTTAAGGGCATAACTATCTAGGTAATTAATCCAGACCTGTCATCCTTACACTGACCTAAACCCAAGTACCACGGGAAAGATAGATTATATCCATCTCTACTAAGTATGGAGGAGATGTCGGCAGGATGCAGCTTGCGTATTCTCTTATGGCGTATTCACATCATGACCTCAGTTCTACTCATCTCGGTCTGTGTGGTCACAGTGCTCATGCTGACTATTACACGCACCGTGCCTCGTGACTTGGGGCTTCCCTGGTGGGTTTATCTGTAAAACTACATTGGAAACTCAATGGCTATTTCTGGAGACTGTCATGAAATTTATCTGTAGCTGGAAATTTCTTTATTGCCAAGTTGTGAGTATTTACTCAAAAGCCAAATTTTATCTGAAAAATAAGATTTCAAGAGCCATAGGAAATTATTTTGTCCGGGTGCTCTGTGGCTGTAGACGCCACCTCAGATTTAGTCAGTCTCAGAATGGCGGAGGCAGAAGGAAAAAGGGCAGAAAAGGCCATAGCTTCAAAATCAGCCTCAGCTGGATCTGTAGGATGTCTGTCACATTCAGCAAAACAGTGGTCTGTATTCAAACACTCAAATAAGAAATTGAATTACTTTTTAATTGAGTTCCTGATGCAATAGAGTCTGGATATGAATGCTTTGCACGGCTGCAGTGCCTTTCATCTTAAGATATCAAAGCCCTCGACATCTATTAATTCATTAAGTCTCTCCTGCCTCGGTAAGGTGGTTAATGCAAGCACAGGCGTCCTCTACCACGACTGAAACTCGTCCCTCTGGGGGCTGGGCAGGGAAGGCAGCTGCTTAACTGTAAGGTGATTCTATCCAGTAGCTTCTAAAATGGAAAAACAAGAAACATCTTACTTACCTAGTTAAAACTGCAGGAGGCATTTTATTAGACAGAATG